GAGACTGGAGGGACCCCAGAAGACATGGCTCCTGGACTCTCCATTAGCCCAAAACTAAAACCATTCCCAAAGCCAACTATTCAGACAAAGATTAGACTGGACTATGGGACATAAAATAATACTTGTAAAGAGTGTGCTTCTTAGCTCAAGTAGATACATGAGACTAAATGGGCAGCTCCTGTCCGGAGGCGAGATGAAAAGGCAGAGAGGGTCAGGAGCTGGTTGATTGGACACCGGAAATCCAGGGTGGAAAAGAGGAGTGTGCTGTCACAGTATAGAGAGAGCAGCTAGGGTCACAGAGCAGCATGTGTATAAAGTTTTGTATGAGAAACTAACTTGAACTGTAAAGTTTCATTTAAAGCCCTATTAAAAAAAAAAAAAAAGATCGGCCGTTCGAATCCACCAGCTGCTCCTTGGAAACTCAGTGGGGCAGTTTTACTCTGTCCTATAGGGTTATTTACTGACCAACCATTTGAAGTACATACTATAAGTATTCTCACTTAACAGATGAGGGAATAGGCGCAGAGAAGGTTGCACAGATAGAAAGTGGCAGAAGCAGGATTCCAAACCATCTCTGACCACTTCCAAAGACCTTGCTTTCAGCCACTACACTATGCTCCCTCGTCGCTCCTCCACCTTTACGCTTGCTGAGCTCCATGGATGCTCCCGCTCATGTAGTAGAAGCCACCTCTGGCCTCAAACCTCTGAAGTATACAAAGGATTGTGGAACTTTCTTTCATACCTTCTTCCTGCCCTGTCCTGCCGGGTGGCCTCTCCAGCTACCAGCCTCTCTCCACTTCTTTCGGCTGCAAACCTTTTCATAGGTCCTGCGACTGCCTGATTCCTCTTTATTTACTCCTATCACCTGAAGATACTGCCCCCCTCTCTTCTGACACCTCCTTAGAGGCCTCTACAACCAACAAACCAGTTGCCTCGAGTTGATTTCTACTCATAGTGAGTCTATAGGACAGAGTAGAGCTGCCCCATAGGGTTTCCAAGGCTGTAAATCTTTACCGAAGCAGACTGCCACATCTTTCTCCCGTGAAGTGGCTGGTGGGTTCAAACCACCCACCTTTTGGTGAGCAGCCAAGTGCTTTAACTACTGTGCCACCAGGGCTCCTTTGAGAAGCCCCTAAGACCTGCCGATACTAGGGGCCCCCTCTTAGATCTCCTTTCTTTAACCTCAGTGCCAAGCAGATGCCCCCAGCCACCCTCCCATCTTTAAGGTCTCCCCCTAGCTCCAGGGAGGATGTGTGTGCCCTTCTGGACCTTGCACTTCTTCCTGGGTCCTCTTCCATTTCCCCATACCAGCGGTGAGTGTGTCCTGGATCTCTGTCTCCTCTCTCTGTCCTTCCCTAATGGAGCGAGCTTCTTTCTTGTTTCTTTTCTGTAGCTGATTTCCAGATGTAGAAAGGCCCCAACCCCCAATCCCTGTTTCCTGAGGGACTTTTTGGCTGTCTCACTGTCACCCTTAAGACCAGCACATGAACAGTACAAGTCATTTCTCTACAGAGTGACTTCTGCCCTTGCCTGGATTATGTACAGACACCCTGTTGCTACTCTTCAGAGTCTACTTCTCTACTTTCACTTCGTTATGCGGTCTGTGTGCCAGGCACTCAAAAACATAAAAGATGTCTGTGTATCTGGGTGATGGGGAAGGAAAGGAAAAGCTCAGTCGTTATCCTCCAGTTCCCCCAGCCCTGGCCTGCGGTGGAAGACTCTGACAGCCCACACTTCTTCTCTCAGCAGGGATGTGGCTCTCAGCTCCCTTAGGTCTTCTGATGTCCACCGGGAGGAGTCCCTCTCTGGAGGAGACCCAGGGAGGAGGGATGGGTCTCAGGTCACCTCCAAATAGCACTAACGTGACCCCAGCTGTTGTAGCCCTATCTGTAATGCACTCTCAGGCTTTTTTCTTTTTCTTTAAGAAATAAAAGTTTTCAAACATGCAGAAAACTGGAGAGTATAATGTAATGACCACCCACTTACCCACCACCCAGATTCAACAAGTGCCAACATTTTGCCATATTTGGTTAATTTGTTGCATTTTGTTTTTTTTACTGAAGGCTTTTAAAGTATATTAGTCACCAATGACTTTTCACCCCTGATGAATATACATTTTAAAAAATGTTTTTCTACACAACCCAATACTATTATTACATTTAACAAAATTGACAATAGTCTGCAATATCACCTTCAGATCTAGTCCATATTCAAATTTCCCTCTTACACTAGTTTTCCCAGTCCATGCTGATGACTGAGGATCCAATCAAGGACCTCTCTAAAGTCTCCTTTAATTTAGAACATAACCCCCTCCTGCCCCGCACTCACCCCCGCTTTTTTAAATCACCTGACCTTGACTTATTGAAGAGACAGGACTAGTTGTTCTGCAGAGTGTCTCACCTTCCAATGTATCTAATTGCTTCCTAGTGAAGTTGTTTATCTTGTTCCTCTATCCCTTGTGTTTCTTGCAGACCGGAAGTCATACCTAAAGTTTAAATATTTTTGGCCAAGAATATTTCTCAGGTGATTCCACGTTACATCACGTTGGGTGGAATGTAATGTCAGGTTGGCTCACTGTGAGCAATACCAAGAGTGATTTCTGGGTTAAGGTGGTAACAGCCAGAGGGCTTTTGGATCTTTTAAAGGGTGACCCCCTCCCCATGCTTTGCAAACCTGTTGTTAATCACAAGTGGTCCTGATGTGACTGCTCCTCCCCCCGAGGGCAGTTATTTTAGATTTGGGGGGTCTGTTTCCTACTTAAGGAGCCCTGGTGGCACAATGGTTAAGCCCTCAAACTCACCAGCTGCTCCAAGGGAAAAAGATGTGGCAGTCAGCTTCCGTGAAGATTAAAAAAAACAACCAAACCCAATGCTATCAAGTCGATTTCGACTCATAGCAACCCTGTAGGACAAGGGTAGAACTGCCGCATAGTGTTTCCAAGGAGCACGCTGGTGGATTCAAACTGTCAGCCTTTTGGTTAGCAGCCAAGCTCTTAACCACTACACCACCAGGGTTTCCCCAAAAAGATTACAGCCTTGGAAAACCTATGAGGCAGTTCTACTCTGTCCTATAGGGTCACTATGAGTCGGAATTGACTCGAAGGCAATGGGTGTGGGTTTCCTACTTAAAACCCAGAATAGGATCTGATTGCTGTTGGCTCAATTGTCCTGTCTTACTTTATTAAACTTGTCTGTCATTTAATAAATCAGAACATTCTTCTGATTGACAAACAGCTCTTCTGACCAATACAATCTTATTCTAGATCCACGATGTGTTTTAAGGCAAAACACACTCATTAATTCACCTCAGTCAGTATGATTTTGCTTCCATATTTCAAGGGGAAAAATAAACAATATGAGGTACAGAAAAATTCCTAGTCCCCAAACTTAGCAATTGATCACAAACAGAACATTTGGAAAACTCTCAGACATTCCCAGGCAGACACCTGGCTGTTCCTCCCAACCTCTCTGCCTGTTCTGTTACATCAGCATCTTGCCAGTCATCCTGACTCTGAGCCTTGGAGCCACCTTTGACTCATGTTCCCCTCTCTGCCTTCTTCTCTCTGTAAAGCCAGTTGAGTGGCTAATCCCTATTGTCCCCATCATTTCCTGATGTCACCACCCTAGTCCCAGTGCTCTTCAAACTATTCCTGCATTGTGGCAACTGCTTCTCAACTGCTCCCTCCTCGCCTCTTGCCGGCCAAGCCAGGAGGGCCGCCGCCCCAGTAATCCTCTGAAATAGAGCCCAGAAACCACAGGACCCACACTGCTTCAGCCTCACCTCTGATTAAGTGCCCTCCCTCCCCCCCCAACTTGTTTATTCCTCGTTTTTCTCACCCTGGCTTCTTCCTCTTTCTTGCATTCACTCCACTCGACCCATAATTACTGTGTTCTTAATATTTAGTAAGTACCATTCTAGGTGCTGAGGTTTAGTAGTGAACAAGACAGACAAAAATCCTAGCCCTCATGGAGCTTAACGTTCTTGTGGAGAGATGGATAATAAACAAATAAATACGTCAGACAATTATGAGCGCTAAGAAGAAAAATGACACAGCATCAGGAAATACAGCATGTTGATATGGGGGGTTATTTCAGATAGACTGGTCAGGGGAGGCCTCTCTGAGGAGGTAAGGTTTGAGTAGAAATCTGAAGGAAGTGAGGGAGCTAGTCATGTGGATGACTGGGGTAAGAATATACAGGCAGAGGGATAGTGAGTGCAAAGACCCTGAGGTAGGAGCATGTTTGGTGTGTTTGAGGAATACTAAAAAGGCTCCTGCGGCTGGAGTAACAGGGAGAAAAGTGGGGAAGGAAATGAAGTCAGAGAAGGAGCCAGAGCCAGATCAAGCAGAGCCATGGAAAGGTAAACGATATGGGAAGTACTTAGAGGGTTTTGAGTAAAAGGGTGACATAATCTGATTTATGGTTTTAAAGGATCACTCTGTCTGCCTTGTGCAGAACAGGCTGTAGGAAGGGCAAGTGTGGAAGCAGGTAGGGATCATCTAGGAGACAGATGATGGAGACTGGGGAGTGGGGAGGAGGTGAGAATTGGATTCCGGAAGTATTTACTGATATATTTGGTATAAGATGAAGAGAGGAGGGACTGCTCAGATTTCAGCCTGAGCAACTGGGTAAGGAGTACTGAAATGAAGACCGCTGTGCGAGGGACAGATTTGGGAAATGTGTGTGTGTAGGGAGGGCGGGGAGTAAGAGATCAAGCATTTGGTTTTGCAAATGCTAAGTTTGAGATGCCTGGTCTGCACGTAGGTAGAGATGTCAGGTGAGCAGCTGCAGATCTGAGTCTAGAGTTCAGGGGCCAGATGTGAATTTGGGAGTCATTAGCAAGTGAGAAGTGGTTAAAGCCATGGACTTGGATGAGATCAGTGAGGTACAGAGAGAAAGAGAGCTGAGCCTTGGCGCTCTTGCCCTGCCAAAAAAATGAACCAAACGCATTGCCACTGAGTCAATTCCAACTCATAGTGACCCTGTTGGACTGAATAGAACTGCCCCATGGGGGTTCCAAGGCTACAAATCTTTATGGAAGTAGACTACCACATCTTTCTCCCCCAGAGGAGCTGGTGGGTTCAAACCACCAACCTTCTGGTTTAACAGCCAAGCGCTTAACCATTACACCACTAGAGCTCCTTCTCCTCCAGACCCTGAAAATGCCTTCCTTTGTCATCTTTTCTCCATTCAAAGCTCACCCATCCTTCAACTCAGGCAGGTCCCCTCTCTTCCTCCAGAAAGGTTTCCGTAACCACTTTTCCATACTGCCCATTTCTGCCTTGCCTGCTCTCTCCTCAAAGAGCCTGTGTCTGGCCTTTGGGGCTGCCTTCTGCTTCCATCGCTGACAGCTTATGAACACCTCACTGTGTGGTCATCTGTCTCTGCTGCTAAGCCCAGCAGAGGATGATCCACTATTGGGTACTTGGGCAAATCTTCGTGAACTGGGTAGAATTAAATAATTAAGTGCCAATATGGGCTTCAGACAGAAGTGCCTGGGAGGTCAGGGAGAGGCAAGCTTGGCTTTTGGCTTGAACCAGTTTTTCCCTCATGAGCCTTGCCAGCCCAGCATTCTCTGGTCCCATCCCAACACCCAGCTCTTATCCTGACCCCCTTCAGAGACCACAAACCTTGGTGATGACCATTCCTAACCTCAGCCCAATCCTAATCCTGATCTAAAGACAGTGATGGCCAAATGTTCAGCTCTTACTTCCCCACCTAGTACCTAGAATGGCTGACCTGGCCTTAGGAATCTTGTACCCTTCATCCACACCCTCTTCCCTCTCTTCCCACACCCAGGCTTCCCTAGCCGGCTGTGCACCCCAGGAGAGCTGGTGAAGTTCCTCACTGCAATCATCTTCAACTGCTCTGCCCAGCACGCTGCTGTCAACAGTGGGCAGGTAAGACTGCAGAGGGCAGGCCTGGTGGGTGTGTGGCACACAAGGTTAGGCTCAGGAATGGACTTGAGGCCAGAGCTTGGGCTGGGAGCATGTGTGGGTCAGGGTTGTGGTGGGATTATGATCAGTGCTGGGGTTGGAGTGGCAGCTGGGTAGAGTGAGGGGCTGGTGTTGGGTGGTGAGTAGGGTGAAGTCCAAGTTGCAATAGTGACTCAGGTTGATGTTATGCTGAGGGCAGAATTTATGGGCTCCTGTTAAGTTTGGAAGCTGGCTAGGTAGAGTATCAGGTTGCTCTGTGTGGCATGCCAGCCCAAGGCTATTCTCTAGGGTTACCTCCTCTTTGGATCCTCCTTTTCCCCTAGTGACTCACTCCACCCAGTCCTGGAACATTGGGTGGGGAGTGGCAAGGGGTGAGCTGGACTCCTGTCCTGTTTCTTGGACTTTATACCCTGTACCCTTCCTCTGTTCCCTTTCCATGATCCCCTCATCCTCCAACTGTAAGACCTGGGATAGTGGAGGCAGGAGGCAGGGATGGTGAAAAGGGAGCTGGTCCTTCCCCTCTGGCTGGCTGACTCAGTTGGGGTGGGGTCTCCACAGCACGACTTTGGGGCCTGGATGCCCAATGCTCCATCATCCATGAGGAAGCCCCCACCCCAGACCAAGGGGACCACCACCCCGAAGAGTTACCTAGACACCCTCCCAGAAGTGAACGTCACCTGTAACAACCTTCTCCTTTTCTGGTTGGTCAGCCAAGAGCCCAAGGACCAGGTATGTAGGGGTGGATTGGGGGTGAGGCTTTGTAGGACCTGGGCAGCAGAAGTTGTGGTGGCTGTTCCAGGGGGGCTTGGGGACTGACTGCTTGGATTTATGCCCACTACTGAGCTGCCTTGGGTTCTCCAGTTTTTTCAGGAGATGATAGTTGATCGCATCCGATGTACATTGAAGCAAATACAAATTTAGTGGTTGTGGTATAACTTCCCTCCAACTCACCAGTTCACCAATCCATCCATGCATCCATGTATCCATGCATCCATCCATCCATCCGTCTAATCATTCATCCATATAACGATTCATTCAACCATTCTCCATCCAACCATTCTTCCATTCATCTAACATTCAACAAGCATTTGTTGGATATCTCCCATGTGCCCACAGGGCTGGGCACTAGGCATATAAAGCTGAGTGGGACCTACTTCCTGCCTTTAAGAAGCTTACGGTCTAGTTGGGGAGGCACACAGGTGAATGAAAAAAGGCACCACAGTGTTGTAGTCATTATTTATATATTAATTCCTCTATTCAGCACATACTGAGCACCTTCAGTATGCCAGACACTATGGTAGCAGTTATGAACCCTGCCCTCATGAGCTTATAGTCTAGTGATAGAGGTAAAGACAGGCCCTCTGGAACCTAACTGAATCTGGGGGAATCAGGGAAGCCTTCTTGGAGGAAGTGATATCTAAGCTGAAACCAGCAGGGCAAGTAGGAGTTAGTAGAAAAAGGAGGGACAGGGTTAGTTTCTAAGCAGAGGGAAGGACACAGACCAAGGAGTGAAGGTGAGAGTCCATGGTGTATTTGTAGGGCCACCAATGGTTCAGTGTGGTGAAATCACAGTATGGAAGGGAAGGTTGGGCTTTGTCAGGCACAGTATTTGTTCAGAGGGCAATGGGGAACTACTGAAGAGTTTTAATCCTTGGGGTGACATGGTTAAATTTGTGTTATAGCAAAGGCACTCAGGCTTGGATGGATGGGAGGGGCATCATTGGAAGCAGATAAAAAGACAAATAAAATAGAGACACTGAAGGCAATCCAAATCAAGAAAAAAGAGAGAGAACATAAATACACAGCACTAGGAATGGGAAAAGGTACATAGCCACAAATACAGAGAACTTTATGCAAACAAATTTTGAAATCAAGATGAATGAACGAACATAAACAACTGAAACTTAACTTCAAAAGAGATTAAAACCATACATAAATCCACAAGGTTGTGAAAGATCTGATCCTCTCCCTGCAAAGGGAATCTATCAAACCTTTAAGGAACAGGTAATTCCTAAGTCATTCAAACTGCTCCAAAACAAATAAATGTAGAAGCTTCCAAAATAATTTTAAAAATTTTTTTTATTGTACTTTAGATGAAGGTTTACAAAGCAAATTAGTTTCTCATTAAACAATTAGTACACATACTGTTTTGTGACATTGGTTGCCAATCCTACGACATGTCAACACCCTCCCCTTCTTGACCTTGGGTTCCCCATTACCAGCTTTCCTGTCCCCTCCTGCCTTCTTGTCCTTGCCCTTGGACTGGTGTGCCCATTTAGCCTCATTTTGTTTTATGGGCCTGTCTAATCTTTGGCTGAAGGGTGAACCTCAGGAGTGACTTCAGTACTGAGTTAAAAGGGTGTCTGGGGGCCATACTCTCAGGGTTTCTCTAGTCTCTGTCAGACCATGCTTCCCAAATAATTTTACTAGACTACAGAACCCTGATAGCAACGCCTGACAACGGTAGTGCAAGAAGGGAGGTGGGTCTAATATATAGCATTCTAGCCCCAACCCCAACATTTATCACCTATGTGATGTTGGATTGTAATTTAGCCTCTCTATGCCTCAGTTTCCTTACCTGTAAAATGAAAATGATAAGAGTGCCTGTTTCACGAAGTTGTCATAGTGCTTACAACGTGTTAGCTGTTATTAAGAAAACAAAATTATAAACTCATTTTCCTTAGCTACAATCATCTTAGGAAACCCTGGTGGCATAGTGGTTAAGAGCTACGGCTGCTAACCAAAAGATCAGCAGTTCAAATCCACCAGGTGCTCCTTGGAAACGCTATGGGGAAGTTCTACTCTGTCCTTTAAGGTCACTATGAGTCACTTAGCTACAACAATCCCAAAAACATATCAGCCAATGAAGGCCAACAGTGAATAGTAAAACAATAATAATATAACATGACCAAGTCTAGTTTATTCTAGGAAGAAATGTTGATTCAACCTTATGAAATCTAACAGTATAATTCATTATACCAATAAGGGAACATACCATATAATCACTTCAATATATGCAGAAAAAGCATTTGATAAATGTGAATAGATATTGCTAATAAAAACTTAGGAGTTTTTGATAAAAAGTATATTTTGGAAAACAAAAAGAAAACACTGTACTTATGGAAAAACAATAAAAGTCTCCCCATTAAAATCAGTGACATGAAAATAATGTCTATGATTACTCCTATTTATTTAACAATGGAGATCTTTGCCAGTGCAATAAGATAAGAAAAATAATTTTTTAAAGATCAACATCATTAGCAACAGTTATATTGTATGAAGATTATATTGGAAGGGGAAGTATATGCTGTCTTGAAGGCTGGGGCCCGTGCACTGGGATGGTGAATTGCTTCTGTGATGTGGACTTGTGTGACCATGGAGGGAGGGCCAGTCCTGTATTGCCACAGGATGACACTGAATGCAGTTAATGGGTTCATTGCAATATTTCTTGATTGTGGTTGGCTATGCTGTAAAGTGTGACAACATAGCGTGGTGGTCTTTAAGTTGGCAAAAATTTCATTATGGCTGTTGATTGTGAAGATGCCTCACAACTTCTGGTTGTCTTTAGAGGCTGAATTTTGTGAAATTGTGAGATAACAGGTGTGTTCCTGTGTATATTTGCTGGAGTGTTCATGTTGATTTCAGCTGTGCTATGAAGGTGCTTGTGTTCTCTTAGCTCATAGAGCAGTGGATTGGGCACTAGAAGAAACGTTTAAGGATTTCCTAGTTCAGCCCATCCATTTCCAGATGCAGAAATGAAGTCTCAAAGAGTTAGAGTAACACACAGAGGGTTACCAGCAGAGGGAGCAATAAAACTTAGATTGGCTGGTTCCCAAGTCCCATTCTGTCTCCTACAGGCTGTGGGCTTTGGGTACTGGGGGGCTGTTCTGTGTCAGGCTGCATGAAGTGGTGGTCTGAGTTTGTGACTTGAATAGTTTGTGATTATAATTGCTGTAGCTGGGTTGTGCTTTTAGAAGCCACCTTGACTGTATAAGTTGGCAAATGTAGTCCTTCATTTTTCTTCATCCCATCCTGAACATCATCCTAACCTCTCGCCTGTTTTCCTCCCAGAGGCCCCTGGGCACCTACCCAGATGTGCACTTCACTGAGGAGGCCCCGCGGCGGAGCATTGCCGCCTTCCAGAGCTGCCTGGCCCAGATCTCGAAGGACATCCGGGAGCGGAACAAGAGCTTGGCACTGCCCTATGCCTACCTGGACCCTCCCCTCATAGAGAACAGTGTCTCCATCTAACCCCTCCTCCTGCCACCCTTGAAGAAACGTCTAAGCAGGAGGAGGGTCAGCTTTTCAGGATCCTCCAGGCCCTTCCGTCCTCCCTGTTATCATCAGACTGAACCTTCTCCTCTGCTCATGGGGACCTTGTCCTGCCAAGATGGTTCTAGCATCATCTGAATTGGGCGCTGAGCTGTGAGGGGTCAGCACAGCAGTATCCAGGGTGAGAAGCCACTGGCTAAAGTCAAACGCACAACAGGCCCCTCCAAAAGGAAGGAACACCATCACCCCTCGCCCTACTTTGGGCAGCCTCCTGTTCCACTCTCCTGTGGGAATCTACCTTCTCCCATTGGGTTCCCAATCTTGGGTCCCTAAGCTCTCACTGCTAGCCCTCCTGCACCCTAAAGCTCCTTCTCCTACCTTGTCTCTTTGTTTCCCCTTTTCACCAAGCCTAGGACCAAGCAATTCAGCTTCCTTCTCTGGAAGAGCCTGGAGAAGGGCCAAAGAAGGGATGTATGCTCTGGATCTGACATATGGTTCTGTTTGACCCCAGCATTTTTAAGAGTAAGGGAGGAATTGGAGCCCAGCTCACCTGGACCCCTAGCTGTGGTTTTTGAGGACCAGATTCCTTGGCTTGGGAGTGCATGGGGGAGTCTTGCCCCAGCTCTTATCCTATCTCCACTCTCATTCCAATTTTTTTTGTCCTTCAGCTCAGTGAGTTCAATAAAGACCAACACGCCTGGCTCCCATTTCATTTTTGTGTTTAGATATATGTGTGTGTGTGCTTGTGGGTATCTGCTGCTAGGGGACTGGGGAAGTAGGGAGCCACAATGAGTCTATAGATCATCTGTTCGGAAGACAGCAAGCTTCTCAGCCCAACCCATCACGCGGCCAAGCCCTATATTCCTACCTTCATTTCCCAGAGTGTGTCATCGGGGGTAAAAAAAATATCTGGACGCAAAGGACTGATAGGAAGAAAGCAGGTACTTTGCGAAGCATCACAATCCAGCTTCTAGGTGTGGTAGTTGTTAGTGTTGCACATTGAGATCTCCTCTCCTGCACAATAAAAGACTCAACCTCTGGCCCTCCTGTGGATGGGTGGGGCCACGTGACTAGTTTTAGCCACCAAGTTATGAGCAGAAGTAATGCCTCTGTTATTGTGGAAGCACATGTGTCATCAGCTTGTGTCTCCAAGTGACTATGCACAGAGCCCCCTGCTGACCTGAGTTGGATTTGGAGCTGAGCAAGAAATAAACTTTTATTGGGTTAAGGCATTGAAATGATGGGACTGTTTGTTACTGCAGCATAAGCTAGCCTATTCTGACTAATAAAGACGGTAATCTGGGGAATCTGATTTTCTCCCATCCAGCCCCACAGCCCTTAAAAATAGAGATTTGTGTAGCCCTCATGTCAGGTCATCCACAGCAAGCTTTCTGGTTGCCTGCTTCCCTAGACCTCAGATCCAGCCCACCTTACTACCTCTGCCCCTAAGTCAAGTTCTGTAGTTGACCAAATCCTAACCCCAGACTCTCTCTGGCCAGAGTCACGGTATCTTTGGACAGTAACAAGGTAGCTGTTCCTCCATCCTGATGGTGCTGGTGGCAGATGGCTTTAGTGTCAGGAAAGCTGGAAACCCACTCAGAACCTCATGTGGGCCAGGGCTTTGCAAGGCTGCAGAGTGTCACAGCCCCACTCTACACCGCTGTCACTGGTCATCCCTCCAGGCAGTGGGGTTCATTAGTCTTGGCTGCCAGGATCTAAGAAAACAAAATGTGCTTACCGTACAAGCACACCTTCCTGAAAGCTCCAGGTCTAACTGCATCTCCCTGATGGAAGTGCTATCCCAGAGCCCCTGCTATGCTGAAGCTTTGGAGCAGCCATTGTCCCAACCAAGAATCTTCTTGTTCAACCAGATCCCTTCTCCAGTTGCTACAGTGTGTATGTGTGCAGTCTTTAGCAACACCAAAGGCTGGATTTTCACTTCCTGCTCCTGCAATGCCACTGTGCACAAGAGGCAGGTTTGGGGATATCTCACCTGTAAATCTGACCTGAGAATTTAGTCAAAATCATCAGATTTTGTTCACCTTGGAACAAAATCAAAGGACTAAGAAATACCCATTGTTGGAAATACCTGGTAGACTCAAACATACCAATGATCATGAAGATGGTGCAGGACCAGGCCACGTTTCATTCTGTTATACGCAAGGGGCTCATGAGTCAGCAACTCGATGGCAAGTCACAACGAGTCCAGATGTTATCTGGTACACACGGATGGGCCCTGAGCTTTGTGTTACTAAGGATGTCTGCCTATTACTCTGGAAAAGCTATGGTTTAAGAAAGCAGAGTGAATTCATGTGTTTGCCTCCTCTCCTTTTTTTTTTTTTTAATTGTACTTCAGGTGAAGGCTTACAGAACAAATAGTTTCTGATGAAACAGTAGTACACATGTTGTTTTATGACATTGGTTAACAACCCCACAACATATCAACCCTCTAACTTCTCAACCTTTTTTTTTGTGAAAATACACATAGCCAAAGATACACGATTTCAAAAATTTCTACATGCATAGTTCAGTGACATTGACTACGCTCTTCCAATTGTCCTGTTATACTCACTTAAGATGAAGGCTTACAGAACAAAATAGTTTCTCATTTAATAGTTACTACAAATGTTGCCTTATGACAATGGTTAACAATCTCACAACACATCAACAATATCCTTACTCAACCTTGGGTTCCCTGTCACCAGCTTCCTTGTCCCCTTCTGCCTTCTGGCCCTTGCCACTGGACTCCTGTACCTCGTTAGTCTCATTTGGTTTTACGGGGCTGTCCACTCCCAGGGTGAATCCTCTCCTTCTTAAGAAGAGATAAAGAGGACACAAGGAATAAAAAAGGTATAATTCTGCAACAATGAAGAGAACTGAAGAGGGACCATCAATGGAAGAAAGAGCTCCTGGGATCTGGGAGATCTGGGAGACAACCCCACAGCACTAACAAGAAATACCCAGAGGCGCCCCCTTGTGGCCGGCAGAGGCTGGACCTTGGGTTCCTTAAATCTAGGCCTTGGTTTAGAACCCATCCGCGAGCAGAGCCACAATGTGCTGGAGCCATAAATGGTTGTTCATGCAGCCTGCAGCCCCGAGGGGACGAACACAACTTGCCCTGCACCAAAGTTAGCATTTGAAGGCGTGCCCATCTTAAAAATGCCCCCAGGCTGGAGAGAGAGGGATGAGGGCAGAACATTGGAATCTGGTTTCCCAGAAAGCCAGCTTAGAGGGAGATTTACTGGGGATACACACCAGCCCATATGTTGAGCTTCTGTCCTGGCTCTGGACCCATCTGAGGACAGGACTTGCGGAGGGGCTTACACAGGGGCCGATAAACCAGTAAGCAGTGTATCCACTGGCTTGCAGCAAGCAAGCCACGCAGACTCTTTATTGTGTTTACTTACTAATCTGTAGTGCACAATTTCACCTGGTTTTCACCATAAGCACCTGTGCGTACTTTGCTTATTGGGTAATCTGTCCCTGGGCTCATGCCCAACTGTGGACAGGGTGCTTCCCCTACTTGCAGTCCAGCCTGCTCTATGCTTTCTGTCAGCCTGGTGCAGGGGGAGGCACACCACCATCTTTCCCAGCTCTGCCACCAGGCTCTGTGGAATCATGAGAAGTCCCTCAGCTTCTGTGGCCTGCATCTGTCATACACGTGGGTGGGGTGAAAAGATCTGGAAAGCCCCCACTGGGGTAGACACTGTAGGTAGGATCTGTTTGCCTCGTGGCTTCTGTCTCTCCACACACGTCCTAGATACCAGGAAGAGCTGACTGCCCCAGGCACGATCCCTGCCTCCACCGGTTTACAGGTGGTGAGGGAGACAGATGACAAACAAAACCTTTCAGACGATGGTAAGTGCAGTGGGAGATAAAGCCACACAGTTAGCATCAATGGAGGTGCAGGGTGTGGAGGGAGCGTTAAACTGTGGTCAGGGGGTGAGGAAGTGACACATGAATTGAGACCTGGATGATAAAAATGAAGCACTCTTGAAACAGCTTGGGGAAAGATGTTTGTTTTTGACTGAATTGTATCCCCTCAAAATATGTATTGGCATCCTAACCTCTACACTTGGGGATGGAATCCCACTTGGGAATAGGATTTTCTTTGTTATGTCAATGAGGCCATACCAGTGTACGGTGAGTTTTACACCAATCACTTTTTTAAAAATTTTTATTGTTGTACTTTAAGTGAAAGTTTACAATTCACGTTAGTCTCTCATACAAAAATTTATACATACATTGTTATGTGACCCTAATTACTCTCCCTATACTGTGACAGCACATTCCTCCTTTCCACCCCTGATTTCCTGTGTCCATTCAACCAGCTCCTGACCCTCTCTGCCTTCTCATCTCACCTCCAGACAGAAGCTGCCCATTTAGTCTCATGTATCTACTTGAGCTAAGAAGCACACTCTTCGCAAGTATCATTTTATATCCTATAGTCCAGTCTAATCTTTGTCTGAGGAGTTGGCCTCGGGAATTGTTTTAGTTCTGTCAATTGTTTTAGTTGACAGAGAGTCTGGGGGTCATGCTTTCTGGGGTTTCTCCAGACTCAGTCAGACCATTAAGTCTGGTCTTTTTACTAGAATTTGAGTTGGGCACCCCACTTTTCTCCTGCTCCATCAGTGACTCTCTGTTGTGTTCCCTGTCAGGGTGGTCATAGGTCGTAGCTGGGCATCATCCAGTTCTTCTGGTCTCAGGCTGATGGAGTCTCTGGTTTATGTGGCCCTTTCTGTCTCTTGGGCTACTACTTTCCTTGTGTCTTTGGTGTTCTTCATTCTCCTTTACTCCAGGTGGGTTGGGACCAATTAATGCATCTTAGATGGTCACTCGCTAGCTTTTAAGACCCAAGATGCTACTCACCAAAGTAGGATGCAGAACATTTTCTTAATAAACTTTGTTATGCCAATTGACCTAGATGTCCCCTGAAAGCATGGTCCCCAGACCCCCGTCCCTGCTACTCTGTAAACCAATCACTTTTGAGATACAAAAGAGCAGATTAGGCACAGAAGCCAGGAAGCACAAATGGAGAAAGACTAATGCCATTTGGAGATCTCTAAGGAACCAAGGATGAGAAGCTGAAAGAGACAAGGATTTTCCCCAAGAGCAGACAGAGAAAGCCTTCCCCTAGAGCTGGCACCCTGAATTCAGACTTCTAGCCTCCTGAACCGTGAGAAAATAAGTTTCTGTTCATTAAAGCCACC